GAACATTGCAGAAAATTAAAAATTTTCCTACGGTTTCACCAAGATCCATCTATGAGTTCATCTAGCAACAAGTCATGGGAGAGTGCATCTACATACCCTTATAGATCGCTAAGCGGAAGCGTTCAAGAGAACGGGGTTGAAGGAGTCGTACTCGTCGTGATCCAAATCACCGGAGATCCTAGTGCCGAACGAACGACACCTCCGCGTTCAACACACGTACAACCCGGTGACGTCTCCCATGCCTTGATCCAGCAAGGAGAGAGGGAGAGGTTGAGGAAGACTCCATCCAGCAGCAGCACAACAGCGTGGTGGTGGTGGAGGAGCGTGGCAATCCTGCAGGGCTTCGCCAAGCACCTGCGGGAGAGGAGGAGGTGTCACGGGAGGGAGGGAGGCGCCAGGGCTTCAGGTGCGGCTGCCCTTCCCTCCCCTTCCTTTATATAGGGGCAAGGGAGAGGGGGGAGGCACAGCCTTGCCCCTTCCTCCAAGGAAGGGGTGCGGCCAAGGGGGGGGGGAGGAATCCATCCTCCCCAAGGCACCTCGGAGGTGCCTTCCCCTTTGAGGACTCTCCTCCTTTTCTTATATCTTGGCGCATGGGCCTCTTGGGGCTGGTGCCCATGGCCCATATAGGCCAAGGCGCACCCCCTACAGCCCATGTGGCCCCCCGGGGCAGGTGGACCTCCCCGGTGGACCCCCGGACCCCTTTCGGCACTCCCGGTACAATAAATCTTTACCTCCGGACCATTCCGGAACTCCTCGTGACGTCCGGGATCTCATCCAGGACTCCGAACAACATTCGGTAACCACATACAAACTTCCTTTATAACCCTAGCGTCATCGAACCTTAAGTGTGTAGACCCTACGGGTTCGGGAACCATGCAGACATGACTGAGACAACTCTCCGGCCAATAACCAACAGCGGGATCTGGATACCCATGTTGGCTCCCACATGTTCCACGATGATCTCACCGGATGAACCACGATGTCAAGGACTCAATCAATCCCGTATACAATTCCCTTTGTCTAACGGTATTGTACTTGCCCGAGATTCGATCGTCGGTATACCGATACCTTGTTCAATCTCGTTACTGGCAAGTCTCTTTACTCATTCCGTAACACATCATCCCGTGATCAACCCCTTGGTCACATTGTGCATATTATGATGATGTCCTACCGAGTGGGCCCAGAGATACCTCTCCGTTTACACTGAGTGACAAATTCCAGTCTCGATTCGTGCCAACCCAACAGACACTTTTGGAGATACCTGTAGTGCACCTTTATAGCCACCCAGTTACGTTGTGACGTTTGGTACACCCAAAGCATTCCTACGGTATCCGGGAGTTGCACAATCTCATGGTCTAAGGGAATGATACTTGACATTAAAAAAGCTTTAGCATACGAACTACGATCTTTGTGCTAGGCTTAGGATTGGGTCTTGTCCATCACATCATTCTCCTAATGATGTGATCCCGTTATCAATGACATCCAATGTCCATGGTTAGGAAACCGTAACCATCTATTGATCAACGAGCTAGTCAACAGAGGCTTACTAGGGACATGGTGTTGTCTATGTATCCACACATGTATCTGAGTTTCCTTTCAATACAATTATAGCATGGACAATAAACGATTATCATGAACAAGGAAATATAATAACTAATTTATTATTGCCTCTAGGGCATATTTCCAACAGGCGAATCGTACTAGCCATCTCGGCCATTTGTCGACATCTGCTATGTTTCTTCTTTTTTCCCTTTTTCATCTTTCCCTTAGTGCGCATAGTCCCAGTTTGATTTTTTTTCACCGGGTTTCTGGGCTGGGTTTCAGGGATTTTCTTTTACTCGGTTTATCTCCGTTTTTTCTGTTTTTTTTCTTTTTTTCTTTTTCTTTCTTGTTTTTTCGTTTCTCCCTGTCTCTTTTCTATTTTTCATATTCAATGAACTTTTCTACAAATCGGTGAACTATTTTCCAAAATCGATGAACTATTTTCAAAATTGATGAACTATTTTTCAAATTCTATGAAGTTTTTTCAAATGCGATGAAAATTTTTAAATTTTGTTGGACTTCTGTTAGATCGATGAACATTTCTTTAAGTTCGCTGAACTTTTTGAAAATCGATGAACTTTTTTAAAGTCAATGAACTTTTTCTGAATTTGATGAACTTTCTTCAAATTAGATGAACTTTTTTAAAATGCATTGAACATTTTTTCAAAATCGTTGATTTTTTTCATTTTTGTGTGAACTTTTTTTATTTTTTGTGAAAAATTTGTAAAATCGATGATTTTTTCAAATTCGATGAACTTTTGTCAATTCAATGAGCATTGTTTTTCAGATTCGATGAACTTTTTTCAAATTTAACGAACCTTTTTCAAAATCGGTGAACTATTTTCAAATTCAACAAACTTTTTTTAGATTCGATGAACTATTTTCAGTTTTGTGAACCTTTTTTGAAGTTGGTGAACTTTTTTTCAAGATTTTGATGAACATTTTTCGATTTTTTTTTGTGAACTATTTTTTAAAATTGATGAACTTTTTTCAGCTTCATTGAATTTTTCTTGAATTGCGCAAATATTTCAACATCATTAAATCCGAGAAACAAGGGAAGGGAGTAGCACTAGTGGCCCATGACGCCCACACAATGCGTACCCTATTGTTGAACAAGAAGAAAGGAAATGAAGGGTATGCGGCTTTGAAGGCGGACATGAGCAAGGCCTACAATCATGTAGAATTGAGATTTCCCGCCATCCGTCCCAGATAAATGTGGCATGCAAGGACGCAACGTCAATGCATTGTGACACTCGCACTTGCAAGTTCCCGTTGCCTCTCAAACCTACTTAGTATAGGAAGGCGATTCTGCTAATGAAATAAGACTAGCGCACGTAGCCATTGTGTTCGCTCAAAGTAAGTTGTGTGGTGTTGTGGCAATGACAAATGGTTCGTGTTCTCGCTTGTCTTTAAATAGGCATGGCATCGATTGGCTGGTAGTACTATCAATCAACGTGTACACCCAACAACAGTGTACTATATACTTTCGAAATAAATTCATCAATATTTCATCTAGAGTTGTGGTACTGTACACGCATGCTCTACTTCCAAACAAAACTCTAATGCGCCCACACACCCACTCATCTACCCACGTCTATAACATTTGTTCTTGTCTCACCATGATTGCTCTTTTAACTGCCACTTACTGATGGCATGGTTTGCCGTCTTCGTCGCTCTATCTATTGTCTTAACCAAGCCCCCCACGATTGATAGCATCTGTTGTTATCTCATCATGTATGCTCCATTAATTGTCTCCACACACCCCTCACATGCGTCTACAAGGCTCGTGAATTAGCTGGTGGGCACACAACAGCTTGTCCATTTCACCTCCTCCCTCCTCGTGGACTCATCTTCTCCGCACGCTCTTAATACGTCTTTCATGAACCCTCCCTCCTCTTCCAGGCCGCCTTCTTCCCTCTCCCCCAAGGCCGCCGAATCCACCGTCTCGAGCACCAGACTTGTGCACTCGCTACAGTTATTATTTTTAGGCGGACAACGCCGCGGCTGCATCCACCGACCAGGTATACCGGCCCTTACCCAACCGCACATCGGTACACGGAGATAGGTACACCGAAGAATATCGGTCCGGTCCATCGCCCCTCCCCCGGACCTGAACACCAAGTCTTTTTCTTTTTTTAGGCAAACCTGAACACCAAGTGTCTTGGCAACAAAGACCATGATGAGAACTTTTTGGTACCAAACAAACAACATTTTTTTTTTGAGAATACCAAACAAACAACAAATCGAGTCCACCAAGCAACATCCCTGGCCGGCCGGCCGGCCCAACCGAGAAACAAGGCTAGTGGCCCACGACGTCCACACCATCCATCCAGCCGTACCCTACCTACCTCTCGCGGTGGCTCGACACGCGTGCGCGCGGCGAAGCGTCTCAGCCGTCTCCTCCCCTCCCCTCCCCTCCCCTGCTCCGCCCTGCCCTGCTGCGGCGGAAAACCCCCGCAGATTGGGATTGGTAGGAACAACGCTCTCCATTGCCGAGCCGGAGACGATTTCTTTCTTTCTTTCTCTCGGCGGAGGCGGAGATAGATAGACGAGATAAATACCCCCGACCCCGAACCGAATCGGCGCCGTATCCAATCCCAGCCCAATCCACTCCAATCCGAGAGCGGCTGCCATCCATCCCTACTCCTCCGCTTAATAAATCCCAATCGCATCGCCATTAAATCCAATCCAATTAACCCGCCGCTTGCGCTTCTCCCCCAAGAAACAAGAAACAAGATCGACGCCACGCCGACGCACCACAAGAATCGACAAGCAAACGCCCCGCTGCCGCCGGCGCACCACAAACCGCCGGTGCACGCACGTATGTTCGCTGCTACCTCTTCTTCCCCTTCCCCTGCTGCTACCGTACTAGTAGTTCATCCTGCCGTGCCGGCCTCCGGTCGGCCGTGCTCTGTTTGTTTGCTTTCTCGAAGAAGAAGATAGGGGCTGCCGCGCTAGTTTTTCGCCGCCCGGTTCCGCCGGCCAGTCAAATTTGGATCCACGCGCGGTCGCCTACCGGCTAATTTTAGCCTTCTTTTTTTTCGATTTCGATCTGTATTTTCATGCGCGCGCGGGAGGCCGTGGGTAATAGCAACCTGAAAACAACAAAGGTGATTTCGCCTAAGAATCGTCGTCGACGAATCATATCAAATCTGCCGTCTTTTTCAAGACTACGCCACCACTGTTCTTGGCCGCTTTCTTTTTCGCCTGCTCTTTTTATCTTTATTATACCGCAAAAAAATGCCAGACTGAGATGAGATGTGTACTTCCCATGGACCACAATCTCTGTCTTTTAGCCTTTCTTTTGGGTGTTTCCTCTGCCTATTAGCTCACTTCCCGCCTCATTTGAAATCAAATGCGCGCTCTATTGAATCTGGGACTGTTGTTTCTCTAACCAAGGCCGTGATTTATGTTAAAGGTTTATTTACCTCTGATCTGATGGATTTTTCCTGTGCAGGATGAGGTTCCAGGGCCCTAGGTGTTCGTTCCGGGAGGACGCCACGGACATGGCGGGCGCCATCTTCATGTCCAACAGCGAGACGAGGGATCACTGCTTCAACACCGGCGTCTTCGGGCTACCGCCAGAGTACGGGCCCTTTGTGGCCAATGTCAAGCAGGGGATGCCCCTGTTCCTCTTTGACTACACATTCCGTAAGCTTTACGGCGTCTTTGAGGCCGCCTCCGACGGCGGCATGGATATTAGCAGGACCGCGTTCCGGTCCACCGGCCGCAGGTACCCTGCACAGGTAATCCACTCTTGCCATGTCCCTCTTGATTATCGATCGTAATTAGTATGGTTCTGTTATGCTACAGCCTTGGGCTTGGGGAACACGAGTAGCTAGTGACTGAATCATCTCTGAAGTGTGAATTGCAATGATCCTTGTTTGCCTCTTGATTATTAATCCAGTATAATATGCTACTGTTAAACCCTTGGGCTTAGAAAACCCCAACAAGTAGTGAATGAATGATCTATGAACTGCAATTGCCAGTGCCATGTTTCTTGACCATTGATGATCATAATATGGTTATGTTATGTTACACCATTGGGTTCAGAGAACTCGAGAAAGTATTAGTTGAATGATCTGTAAATTGCAATTGTCCTTTTCTTTGGTTCACATAAACATTCTAAAGGGTTCACATATAAGATTCTAAACGCTCATCTACAACTGTATTTAAGAGTTGGTGGGATTATGTATTCTGAAGTATTGTTGAAAATCAGCATTCATCTACTACTAGCCACTTATAATGGGGAACATGGTGTAAAAGGTTATGGTGAACTGTCTGAGATTTAGTTGTGACGAGATGTTGCTTTCCTTGTATTGCTGAGTGCCATTTACTGATTAACGATAATAACTCTTAATTTGGTTTTGAGCTGTTGTTTCCCCTAGGTTTGCTTCAATATTGTTTGGAAGTGCAGACCGCTCACTGAAGATGAATTTTTTCCTGCCATTGAAGAGAACTACTATATCTCAAAGAAGTTCTACTTCGACCTTTCCTACCAGCAGGTTTGCTAAAAAAATACTTAATACTTTTGAGTTTGTGACCTTACGTTTTCAAGGTTATTATATAATTTGGGGGCTTTTCCATTTGCAGGTCGTCCAGCTATATGGCTTATTTGACAAAAAGAGGGTAGAGCACCCTATTTGCAATTATTCAACAAGTGCTAATCTGGAAAAGGAGCACTCAAGCAGAAGGAGACCAGACAAAAGGAGCTTGACTCCAAATAGTCCTCCTTTTTCTGCTGATCGTTCCCACACTTTGATACTCTCGAGTACCCCAAAGATCTCAACTGTCGAAACAAACTGCTCTGCTTCTACAAGCATGCATCTAATTGTACCACCTACTTTTGAGACACAGCCAAGTGTGTCGATGCCCTTGGTAACTAAACCTTTTGGAGTCCAGACTGCTCCCATCCACAGCAACCAAATAAAAGTACCTTATCATAGTCAAGAACATCTCCGAGATGTTTCAGCAATAGATGGCACTTCAACTCAGGTGTCTGCTCCTTACTCTCAGACAGCTAGATACCACCAAGATCAGTTTGTGGCAAATCAGTCATACCCATCATCTGATGATTATCCGCACAATAGCTTGTCTTCTGGGTGCATGACACAAGGTCCAACTGATGGAGTTAGACTGTCAGTAAAGCAGTCATATGGAGGCAGTAGCTTGTCATGTTCTCGGTATTTACCTCCAGTTCCAACTGGTGCTGAAAGAAGCTATTTGACCTCAACTCCGTATTTCCCATCATATCATGATTCTTCTCTGGCAAGTCCGCAACACAATGCTCACTGGAAGGATGATTACGACATTAACTGCGAACAATGCAGAGAGATGTATGCATCTGAGCAACTGCATTTAAACAGAGGAAAATCTATTACACCTCCAGAATCAACTCAGATAGGTATTCCGGCTTACCCTGAAGCTCCTGAAGTATCAGCAATCATTCAACATAAAGAAAGCTTTACTGGCTACATACCAATCAATGATCGCCCTGAGGACTTGGAAAAAGAACAGCAGAGACGTGATTTTAATCGGGATGGTTCAGTCTCATCAGGTTCTGGACATGAAACATTAGCCTACATTTCAGATCGACCATATACTGATCATGATGTTGGAGCTGAAAGCAACATGGCAGTTCCTAGTCAGCGTCCACAAAAGAACGTGTTTTCTCGCTTATCAGTGAAGCCACAACTACCTCCCCAAGAAATTACTGGCCCTTCAATGAACCAACTGCTCTATTTACTTTCTCAGAGAAGAAAACAGTGGAGCAACAAGAGTATAAGTCCTAGAGAAGATGTTTGTAAACAGCTGGTCCGTGAACAGGACATGGACATGCCCATTCCTCCTGCAGAGCTAAACCTGCCAAGCGGACTAGGAGAAGAATGCGCAGATCCTCCCTTCTTGAACTTCAAGAGGCGCAGCAAAGCGGCTGGGCTGGATACAGATGTAGGACAGGAGGTTAGTGACAAAAAGAAGAGAAGAAAGCTTGTGCGCCCTTCTTTTGGAGAAAATAACACCACTGGTACTTCTGACCTCCAAGGGAATGCCATAGTTGAAGTGCGCCCTTCACTCGAAGAAAATAAAACTACTGGTAATTCTGGAAATGTCCTCCAGGGGAATGCCATTACTGAAAGGAATCAAACCCCTGCTTCCATAGTTGAAAGGAATCAAGGCTCTGCTTCCATAGTTGAAAGGAATCAAAGCCCTGCTGACATAATTGAAAGGAATCAAAGCTCTGCTTCCATAGTTGAAATGAATCATAGCCCTGCTGCCATACTTGAAAGGAATCAAGGCCCTGCTTCCATAGTTGAAAGGAATCAAAGCCCTGCTGCCAGAATTGAAAGGAATCATAGCCCTGTCGAAACTGATGGTAACAAGTTCATCATTGACCTAAATGAACCGGCATCCGCAGAAAGTGAGCTGGCAGAGGATGGTAGCATTGCACCGTGTCCTGTTGCTGCCAACATACAGACAGACAAATCGTGTGACGTAGATGTGAAAAAGCAAAACTGCTCAAATTCGGCTGAGGTAATCAGCCAACAAGATGTACAGTCTGACAGTGGTGCGCCTACAGAGAAGATTACACTTGATCTGAACATTACCGATCTGAACACAATGGACGAGGTGAAACTGCAAGCGATCCTTGGCTCATCATTGTTGCAAGCACTTGACAAGCTCAGAAACAGCAAGTCCAATGATGACTCCAACAAGGCTAAATCAAGCCTCTCTGATAAAATCAGCCAGGTGAAAATGGAGATGAAATCCGACACGAGCACCAAACATAGGTGCAACTGACAGTGTTAGCAAGACTGCCCCTACTCCAGCTGCTGGATAAGAAGAATCCTCAACGATCCGATTGTGGGGTGGAGTATACCGACTGTAGGATGTTACAGTAGTAGTAGTATCGTCCTTTCTAGTTTATGTAAGGCATATTTACCTTGTCTTGAGTCAAACCCTCTAACTTTGACCAAGTTTATATTAAAAATAATATCAACATCTATCTTCTGTACTAGATCGATGTTGATTGGTTTTTCTATAAACTTGGTCGAACTTGAGAGAGTTTGTCTTGAGACAAAGTAGATATGCCCTATAAACTGAAGAGTAGCAGGCAGTGGCATACGCATAGGTGAAAGAAAACCTATATTTTGCATGATATTTTGTGTTTTGGAAGAAGAAAGATAGGCAGTCAGTTTGCTGCTCTGTATGACTGTCTGTCTGAGGCAGAACAGTTGTTACCTCTTATTAGTAATGAAATATCCTTTCTGTTAGTGTTGATATTCCTGTGTTGTTTTGTACTCTGTTTCATGGGATCAAACTCATGGGTTTCCTGTTCATGCCCTGTTTTTCACATGAGGCAATGTAACTTGGAAAACTTGGTTATGCTGGTCAAGGCAAACATCTTATAGCCAGTTTTCTACTGTCATAATGTGGATCAATTTGAAAAGTGTCGTTGACAAATTCAATTGGAAAATTGGCATCAAATCAACAAATAGTGTCGCAATGTGAATGAGAAAATAAACCCAAAATGTAACAGGTGAGGCTAAAATGTTTGTTTTTTTGAAAAATTGTTAAGGTTTCAATTCTGAGAACCTGTACTACATAGATATTTGATGAGACCAATCTCCAGGATTAGGCACGTCAGCGTGGTATCGTGAGCTGAAGACGAGGGAAATGCCATCGCGGTAGATTGTAACTTGACGCAACACCAAACCAAATAGCATCACATACATGGCTGCTATTAAGAACCTTCAGCGAAGCAGCTAGTGCAATTTGGTCGTCCCAAGCACAAATCTGAATTCCCATTTGTCACCCAATCCCATGACGTCCCAAGCACAAATTTGAATTCCCATGATCAGTCAAATATCTCTGCTATGTAGATAGTTTCAAGTATGTATGCCTTCTCTGCCTAGGCCCTAGTTTCACGTATGTATGCCTTCAATGTTTCAAGTATGTATGCGATGGCGGTTTAGGTCCTGGTTTGCTTTTATAGATGAAGCGAGGCAGTCAACATGAGGCACACAATGAAATGCAATCAATATCGAGGACACCGTAAAGCTTCATTGATACATGGTGCACATCCGTGCATTTGCATTGGGGATTCTGTTTTGCAATGTGGACGATTGATGCAATATCTGGGAGATGATTGTTTGTCGATAGCGAAAATTAATCTTTGATGAATGTCTTGATCGACAACGCTATTGAGACGAAGCTGCGTGCATCCTACTATGCTTCACTGGGATGGTGCACATATATGCCTTGCCTGTTAGCTAACTGCTGGCTCCGTAGTGATTCTTTGATGATTTGTCTTCATTAGTGCTTATCTTTTGTGCTTGTGTTTTTCATAGGTCATAAATGATGGTTGCAACTTAGGTCAATATCTTTAGACACTTGTGTCTTGTTATTTTACAACCTTCCAAAGCAAAATTTAATATTTTGTTTTATTGACCGTACATAAATGTGATTTGCAAATTTATAATATATCCAGATATGAAATCACCATGCTCTTAATCCAGACCTGTACATTGGTTCATCTAAATATATTCAGAAAGTTGCCGATTTTGGGATTATGTCAGATTTATTTCTGGGCCTGAATTGCATATCCATGTAGTCTCAACTATGTTTCATTTATTGATATATCACCAAATTTTGGTTTCATTCTTTCTGTAGAAAGACCATTCAGAATTGTGAAATCCTATGTTCATTGTTTGGTACTGTATTGCATCCATTAATTTATCGAACATTAACATATCTATGTGATCCGGTGAGTGTATATCCCCAAGGTTGTAAGTTTATTCCCTCTCTCAAAGTTTCCATTGTTATTTAGTGCGTTGAAATGAATATCTGTCATGGAGAGCCTCGAATGAACCTTTTTTTGTGAACACGCAAGTCTTTTGCGATTGA